CTGCGGACAGTGCGGGGTCGGCTGGTGCTTCGGTTGTTTGGTTTGGGTCTGTACGTGTTGGGAGGGAAGTAGGGCTGTTTATTTGGGTTTTTTGTTTGGTTGTGTGCTTTTTGGTTTTGTGTCTTTGCTCTTTTGAGAAGGAAATTATGAGACCTGCTCCTCGTTGCTCTTGGGGGAGGGGACATTGCTCTGATAAATACACCGAACGGAGGGTGCAGACGGAGAGCTTGGAGTTAAATCTGGAAGTTCTTGGGAAGTGAGAGTGACTGAGGAGGTCAAAGGCCGGTTTAGGAAGTGGACAGCTTTCCTCCCCCACACCCACCCTACTCCATCCCACAGAAGCACCCACAGGCCAGCGAAATGAAGACACAACTGACTTCACCCTTTCCACAGAGATTATTTGAACATCTGCCAAACTGGGGGCAGGAGACACAAGGTGTTTTTTGTTTTTGTTTTTTGCCACGTTCCCCCTGTGTGACCTTGGGCAAGTTACTTAACCTTTCTAAGTTGGAGATCATCATAGCCACCCTGCACCCTCATGGAGGAAGAATGGGGATCAGAATTAAAGGTGCCCTGTGAACGCCCAGGAGGTGCTAGTGAGTCATTTTGTTTTTCCCTGGTGGCTCAACAACGTGGACAGAGGCATGGTCAGCCTAGCTGCAGGTAGGGCTTCGGAGGGGCTGCAGCAGGGCATGGGCTGGGGAGGGGGCTTGATAGGTGCAGTAGGAGGAGCCTACCTTTCTGGCTCCTGGAGAGGTGGGGGAGAGTCTGAGGGGAGAGGGGTACAAGGAGAGGTGCATTGCTTGCTGTGAGCTTTGAGAAGCAGTGCAGCTCAGTTCCCCCCACTAGGGAGAGATGGGGCTGGGGGGCAAGCTTCTCTGGGAAGGAGCTCCGGGCACTTCTCTATCCAAAGGGGATGCTCACTGGCCCCCTTCCTCCTGCTGCTGCTGGGTTCCTTTCCCATCTCTCCTGCTAGCACCCGTGCCCCTGTGCAGTCCAGAGCAGGAAGGCAGGTCCGCCCCTTGCTTCCTCTGAGCCAAGTAGGATGACCCACCTACCCTCTAGAAATGAAGGCAAGCTGGCTGGGACATCTGCCACTCCACTAATCCCAAGGGCTAGTCAGGTGTCTCCTCTCTAATGCTCCATAGTTTTCTTCTGAACAGGACTCCAGGGGAAAGATCAGAGGCAAAGCTGGAAGGTGTAGGGTTGTCTCTAGAACTCTCGGAGAGCATAGACCTGGACACTAACTGGACTCGTAAAACTGACTGGCAAGCCTGCCTTCGCTAGAAAGGCCATGGGTCCAGGTACCCTCTGCGCACACTGAGGCCTGAGTTGTCAGCCCTGCTGCTGGCGATGCTCAGGGCACAGGCCTAACTGAACCACCTGGCAAGGAGGAGCCGCATGGTCCTACCTGCGGTTCAAGGTGGCTAAGAAGCCCAACACAAGAATAGACCCGGCTTAGGTGCCCTAAAATGCCTCTCCCAAAGATGGGCCCGATCCCATTTCATTTTCTGTTTGTTTTTATTTTATTTTTTCAAATTTTCTATAGAGCAAGCTAGCTTGAAGTGGAGGGGGTTAGAACAACCCCCCCCCAGGGACCAGCAGTTGGCATAATGGCTATGTTACTGGACTCCCATGTAGTCGACTGCGGTTCGAGTCCCGGACCTGGTGGCTTAAACTCACACCGGGTGCATGTGCGTGTGTGCCCAAGATCCCGAGAGAATGGAGGAGAAGGAATTGCAGCGTGGCCCTTGTCCCCTGAGGGGTGATTTCTTGTTTTCTGTTTCTCTCTGTCCTCTGTCTTTCTGGTGAGCACACGTACCCTATAGCAAAATCTTCTCAAAAAAAAAAAAAAGATAACACCCCTCCCCGCAGAGGATGGGGACATTGCAATCCCTTCTCCATCTCGGATTTTGGGCACACATGCACATGTGCCTGGTGTGTTTTTCAAACTGTTGGGTCAGGAACTTGAACCATGTAGTCAGCCATGTGGGATCAAGCTGCCTTAACCACCACACACTGGCTGGGCCCCATTTTCCATTTCTAGTTCTGTTGCTCATACTAGACAGTTCTGAGAAGAGGGATTGTATCGCATCCATCTTTGTATCCCTAGGTTCCCTGACGGTACTTGATCACTATGTATTTATTCAGCAGATTTCCTAAACCCTTGCTAGGTGCTGGATGCCAAGAATACAGAGATGAGTGTGTCTCTGAAGGCTCACACGCCCGCCTGGCCCTTGGGAAGCTTACATTCAGATAGAGAAGCAAAACTATACATATATGGGGACCAGCAGATGGTATAGTGGTTACATCGCTGGACTCACACATGGTCGACTGTGGTTCGAGTCTTAGACCCAATGGCTTGAAAATCACACCAGGTGCATGTGTGTGCTTGCCCAAGATCCTGGGAGGAGAAGGGACTGGGGCATGGCCATCCCCCTGGGGGTGATTTCTCACTTTCCCTCTCCTTGTCTCTGTTGAGTGCACACACCATAAGGCAAAAACCTCAAAAAAAATGTATATATATATATATATTTTTTTTTTGAGAGGTTTTTCGCTATAGGGCACGTGTGCTCGCCAGACAGAGACATAGAGACAGAAAGCGAGAAATCACCCCCCATGGGGGATGGCCACGCCGCAATCCCTTCTCCACCATTCTCTTGGGATCTTGGGCACGTACGCACACGCGCCCTGCGTGAATTCTAAGCCACTGGGTCCGGGACATGAACTGCAGTCGACTACGTGGGAGTCCAGCAACATAGCCATTACGCTAACTGCTGGTTCCCAAAAGTATATATATTATGAATAAATTAAGCAACTATATATTGTGATAAAGAACAAATAACAATAGAGAAGAATGAGGGTGAGATCTGCTTCAAATTAGTCAGAGAAGGTCTCTCGGCTGAGGTGGCATTTAAGTGAAATCTTGAAGGTTAATAAGATGTATTCTTGGGACCAGCAGTTGGCATAATGGCTGTGTCCCTGGGCTCCCATGTAGTTTGACCGCGGTGCAAGTCCTGGACCCAGTGGCTTAAACTCACGCCAGGCATGTGTGCGTGCGTGCCCAAGATCCCAAGCGGAGAATGAAGAAGAATGTGGTGTGGCCATCCGACCTGGGGGGTGATTTCTTGTTTTTTGTCTCTGTCTCTGTCTTTCTTGCGAGCACACGTGCCCTATAGCAAAAACCTCTCAAAAAAAAAGTATTCTTTGGGGCCAGCAAGTCGCGTGGTGGTCAAAGCGCTGGATTCCCACTTGGCTGACTGAGATGTTCAAGTCCTGAACCTGGCAGCTTGCATTCTCGCTTTCTCTGTGTCTCTCTGGTTAAAACTTTAAAAAAAAAAAAATTAATAAATAAATGAAATTATTATTAAAAAAAAAAAAAAAGTGTGTTCTTTGTTCAGTGAATGAAACAGTGTGAGCTTGGAGTCTTTCCTCTACCTGTCTAGGTCTGTTTCCTCATCTGACAAAGCGGTACATTGGTCTGAATTCCTTTTTTTTTTTTTTTTTTTTAATAAAAGGTTTTTGCCTTAGGATACGTGCACTCACCAGAGAGAGGCAGAGTCAGAGACAGTGAGAGAGAAAGTAAATCACCGCCCCCCCAGGGATGGCCACACTGCAATCCCTTCTCCATTCTCCTCCCAGGATCTCAGGCATACAGGTACACATACTGGACGTGATTTTCAAGCTACCTGGTCCGGGACTTGAACTCTGGTCGGCCATGTGGGAGTCCAGTGACGTAACAGCTACACCATCTGCTGGCTGCCTG